AATTCTCCGAACTGACAACACGTTTTGCTGCCAACAAGTTTAGGCTAGTAGTAAAACTTCACTCTTCAGCTCTCGCAGAAACACTCAGTCGAACCACAGCAGCAGTGATGCGTTGTGAAACGTTCTGTTTCTGAAATCAGTATAATCTTTATTGAAAGACATTAGACTTCATTGATGCAACAGCTGGCCGCATAACAATGTTCATAACAATCATTTCTTACATCATGTAATCAGAAATTAATTCTGTAATGAAATATACATCAGCTGCTAAATCAAATGTATCAGAAAGTGTATCCAAGTGGTGCAATTGAAGGGTTTTTATCGGCCTCTGTAGTTCCATGAAGAACTGTTAACAGCCATGGAACCTTTCCAATGCACAAAAGGTTCTTTATAGTGAAAAGGGTTCTTTTGATTATTAAAATGTTCTTCACACAAAGAAAAAAGTGGTTTCATTTTAGGGCTGTGCGATATGGACAAAAAAAAACCTATCGCGGTTTCTTTGATCAATTTTGCGATTTCGATTTCGATTTTAATCACGATTTTGACACAGACATGCTTTACAGTCATTAATGCATTCTGTGTGAATTTGAAACATATTTCCAAAAGAAAACCAATTAGAGCTTTATCAAAAAGCTGTAACGTGTCTCTAGAACAGACATAAGGCAAAATAATCACTTAAGTAAAGGTGTAACAAAATGTCTCTAGAATAGACATATGGCAGAAAAAAAAAAAATCCTGTGTCCAGGGATTTTTTTTGCCTTGCATTGGTCATAGAGCTCTTTGTGGCGTTGCCTTAGATGTTGAACTAGATTTGTTGCGCCAAGTTCACACGTACTCCGTCTGCAGCGCATATACAGTATATGCATGCGTTGCAGAAGCAGCACGGACTCATTTTGCTTTTGCACAGGACGCGTTTGCAGTCCGCTCCTGATCCGCGGCTGTTTACCACAAACACAACATTTATCCATTATTTTGATTTCAAATCCAAACGTTGTTTTTCAGCATTGTGATTCTCTTTTATCACAGTACAGTAATACAATCTTTCATAGACATATTCACGTTTAAACTCAATAAATATAACTTTGTTTAACTGCCACCACGAGTGCCATCTATTATTGCCTTGTTTATCTAAAAGTGCACTTTTCCTTGTTTTAAATCTAGCCAAAAAGCCATGTGTTGACTGTGAAACAGTAGACTTTAATTATATGCATTTATGGTGTAATTACTAAATTTCCGTGTCAATCCATGTTATTTTTTACTGCGAATAATGCGCTGTCACTTTAATTCAGCGCATATAGCACAGCAGAAATAGATTCCGTGCGGAAACGATCGCAGCATGACTGGAGCGCACAGCCGGACCGCAATCGCGTGCAGTGTGAACGCTCTGATCCGTTAACATGGGCGCGGACAAAATACGCACCACAGACGGAGTGTGTGAACCTGGCATTACGTTTGTATGCCCGCCCGGTCTGTTCTGTTCTCGTGCTCCATTTAGGCGCGCTGCATTCTGATTGGTTCGGATAGCATACTGCGGGAGGTCGGGGCGCGGAAAATCGTGCAGTAAAGCGATTTAGAAATCGCACATGCTAAAATCGCGATTTTATGACGATATCGATTAATCGCACAGCCTTAATATATACATATATATAGTTGTTGGAGATTCACCTTCCAAAGCACTTGCTGCCCTTGAGGACTCTGTTTGAAGGAGGCAACATCAGAAGGCAGGAAACCTTGAAGGTACCTCTGCAGTGTCCTGCTCACTTCTTCTTTCAGCTTCCTGTCCCCATTGGGAACATTTATAAAACAATCCCATGTTTAAAAACAGATAAACAGATTTTAGAAGATAAAAAGTGTTTAGAATGCATATATGTCCTTATCAGATTATCACTTTACTTCAATTTGTCAACATTAGATGCATTCACTATTCATGAAAAATACTTTTACGGTATATATAAAGCTTGATTAACATTTCACAAGTTGTATAAATCAACACTAGTTAATGAAATATGAACAAACAATAATTAACTACGAACAATAGTATATCTATAAATTACCGTTAACTTAGATAATTAAACGCTGCAAAAGTATTTCAAGACACCAGATGCATAAACTAATGTTAACGAATGAAACTTGTTGTGTTATCAACCGCTGTTACATAAAAATACTAAACTTGAATTAATAAAAGATTGCAACAACAAGTACTACAACAACAGTTTTCATAAACGCATTATTGTCACGGATGCTAAACACAACAGAGGATTTAGGAGCTCACCTGGAATTGCCATTGAAACGAGAAAAGGTGTTTGTAAATCCTTCAAGAGGAACCTTGGGTAGTTGTGAGAGCTCTTTTGAGATTACCTCCGGAGTTGTGTCATCCTGCCAAGTATATCCTATAATAAAACGAACAGAGAGAACTATAAAGTGGCATATACATAAACTAACCGGATTATATTCAAAGAAACCCCGCTTACACCTTGAATTGCTGACATTTCAAAAGACATTACAAAGACCAGACAAGAGGAAACTATTTTAAGTCACCATCATGGATAAAGCACACTGCTGCTCATTTTGCCCACAAGCATAACTTTAAATAACGTGCTGCTGATATTCAAAGTATTCACGTTAATTAGTCCATATATTTTCTAAGACTAAAGACTTGCACAGTAATCAGAAGAATTTGTTTAAGTACCTCACGTCTACAATCATTCATTCACCTTTTAAAAAAATGCCACACTCTAAAGAATGTCAAACATCTGGTCAAAAAAAAATTAATCTCAGGTCGGAATCCATAACAACACTTTCTGAATTACAGGGAGGAAAAACATAAATAGAAAAACACCAAACTGATGCATCAAATCCCATCTTGTGCATTCTGAAAACGAGTTCATCCAGCTTTCATGCAAATGTCACCGAATCAGACATACTTGAGATTGTTTACCACACTAAGGGACACAGGTATGCGGTGATTGAACGGATGGATGGGAGGAATGTCATTAACAGTGTTGGGCAAGTTACTCTGAAAATGTAATCAAATTACTGATTACTCCTTTTAAAAGTAATCACGTTACTGATTATTTTATTTCAAAAGTAATTAGTAATTAGTTACATTACTAGTTACGTTACTTTTTCTCCATTAAATTCGTGAAATCCCAGCATACACGCTCCCGATAAACAACTTTACCAAGGACCCTGTTTTTTTTTTACTTGGCTTGCCAGCAAAAGACATTGCTTTAATCGCTAACCGGTTTGTACTCTGTGATAAGCTCCTGTTACTCGCTAGGAAATGCATCCTTATTGAGTGGATTCACCCTAGACCCCCATCACTTTCCCTTTGGTATAGAGAGTAACCAGCCACAGATGCTGAGGAACGAATAAAGATCTGAAGAGCATCTCCTTAAGCCCCTATAGATGTGACCTCATTAGCCTTCCACCAGCCTCCGACACTCAGTCCTGTTAATCTGTTTTCTTGGAAACATGATGGGTGGGGTTGAGAAGAGGGGCAGACAATGTAAATCTCTTATTTACATATATCGCTAAAAAAGGCAGAAGACAGATCGTGGGCTTACAGTGGGGCCTCAACTCAGCTGGCTTACAGTTAAATATCATCTGCCACCATCTGTGGATTCCATACATCACCGAATGTTGGATGAAGGAGAGAAAATGTCACATTACAGATGCTGTGCCTTTTTGAGGGATCCAAGGATGCGTGTTAATAATGTAACACAAAATATATAATCAATTTTTTTAAAGATAGATTTTTTGTCAATTAAATGATCAACAAAGTGTTTGCTAATGAAGGTTTTTCATTCAATGAGACAAAAATGAATATCACGACATAATTTTAATTCAAATAAACAGTTGACAAAAATATGACAAGAGAAGGGGTTCTGTGCTAGTTAGAATTTGCAAGTCACATTATGAATACACTCAATCCATAACACACTCAATAACTAAAGCATAAAGAGACTACTTGTTAAATACTGTATTAATTTAAGCCTGTATCAACATTTAACATGTTTGAATATTTGGTTTAATTTTGCACAATTTCATCAACTAAAACATTATTCTTGTTCGCTAAAATTGGACGCCATTTAAAAACTGACTAAAATTAATGAACATGACATTCTGACTAAACTTAATGGATATATTCAGCAAAAACCAAAACTGACTAAAAGAAAAAAAAACTGCATCAAAATTCAGTGAACAACGTAAGAGAAATAGCAAGCACAAGGACAGCTGAGCATTTGTGTTACATCAGCATTTACCCTCCAAGGAAACACACACACTTACAATGTTGTTACCTTCCTGTCACCCAGAGTGCTGCACCCTTTTTCCTCAGCAAAGCTCCACCTCATTAGGTCTTGGATGGAGCCTGATATAATGTGCTATTACTAATTAGCAGACCGGTCATTGATGTCGCTGCTATCAAAACATGTGTAGGGGTGATGGTGGTGGGGGGGGGGGTCTTCCAGACATCTATTGCTTTTTTTTTAAGAGAATGCCATCTTCAAATATTTAAATCCCTTTTTTAGCAGCAGACATGCCTTCCATTCTTTGTTTTGACTGGCTTTTGGTTGTGCGGGTCAATATGCAAATTGGAGCACAAGTTAATATGGAACCATCTTCCAATTAGTGTAGCTGACAAACATTGATTTAATTCTGTTCATCATGAATTGCCTAATTTATTGTGATAGTATAATAGCATAAATTAGGCAAGGGGGCAGGTGGGCTTTTCCTGGATTATATGGGATTTCCATAGTATCTTCATAAACTAATTAATTCAACTCAGGTGGCACATTCCACAAATACGGTACACCCTGGTATCCCATGAAAAGACCTAATAAATAGGGTATATGTCGAATGTCACCTGACCAAACCCGGAAAACAGGTCTCATCGCTTCCGCTTGTCGGAGAACGTGCTAACAGCCGTAATAAATAATAGCGATATCTATGGACTTTTAAGATAATCAGTTAAACTAGCTAGCTGTTTTTATTGTTGACGTTTTATTTAATTTTTTTATATAACTGTTAGTGAAAAGAATAAAAATAAAAAACTTTTAGATATCATTCCGCATATGTGATGGGCATTGGTTATGATAATCTTTGGTATCTACTTTGAAGGCATCTCGAGTAAAACTGCTTCATATTTAACGAAGCATATGCAAAACGCTTTAACCAGAAGCGGCGAGACCAGGTTAACAGAATACGGAAGTCTGTAGCGCATAACCCCTATTCACATTATTATGAATTTTTACAAGGCATGTGACAATGCGATACGTGCGACTTATTCGTAATGAGACTCATTTATAAATCTGCTGTTGTCAACAAAAAGAAACATTGAGGTCTTCCTGCGCAATACGCCAAAATAAAAGTTGAGAAAAAGCAAGAACCCCATCAACATTTATAAATGTTAGTATTGTAATTTTACTGTTGTCCTGTAAAATAAAATAAAAAGACAATAATAATGATAATAATAATTACAAAAGCTCTGTTAATGCATTTATTGTAACATTCACACAGTGTTCAAATTGGGATCTGTAATATTTTCTAATGTTTTAAACATGCTCAGCAAGGCTTCTGCTCAGCAAGGCTGCTTTTATTTGTACAGTAAAAAATACATGCCTGTATTTTTACATGCCAGGGGGTCTGATGGCCAAAAATTATTATTTTACTAACTTATTAATTTTAAGTTAAATTGTGTTTTGTTGGTATAATGTCTGCTAGAATGTTAAAAAAAATGTTCAGTGTTAAATATTTTTAAATTGTAGTTTTGTAATTGATTTTTTCTTTGAAAAGCAAGACAAAACAGTAAAAAGCGCATTTTGGCTATTTAATTTGTGCAATGGTGCAAAAAATTGGCAAAATACAGAAAGAAAAAAGAAACTTCGGCTCAATGTTTCATTTTGTTTGGTTTCGGCTTTGGCCAAGAATTTTCATTTCGGTGCATCCCTACTAATTATGATGAAAGGTCACAATTCTTTTGCCTCCTATGCACAACACACAAACCCGATCTACTGCAAAAGCCATCATCATTGGACAGAAAATGGCAAAAACAGAAAACTGCAGCAATGTGTACTCAAGCATCTGTTTAGAACAGCATTTAGGAATTTCTCACGAAGAGGGCTTCTGGACAGATTCATACTGGCTGGCTGTCTTGAGTGAACCCCATGCAAAATGATGTGAACTTTGCTGCAGAGCAACAGATGCAGAAAGATAATTTGATATTCTTAAGCCCTCTATGGAAAAGAGAACCACCGAGAGCTCTCTAGAAACTGTTGACATTTACTGTACTGAAAAACACTTTAAGAATTAAAAAAATAAATACATAAAAATCCCCAAAACTAAATGCAAGTAATTGTATATCAACAAATTAATACTGACGGGTTTGTTAATTCAAATGTTTTGCAAGTATGTAAACACACAATTAAAATAAATAAATAAATAAACATATACAAGGACACATGTGCTTCTGCTGTGTTAAAGCACTGATTGCACTAATTACCAACAATTTGTTATTTGGTATTACAATGTAATGGCCCCTGTTTTGCAATACTGGTTTTACCAGCCCTTCTGACAGTTAACTTTGAGTGTGCCAGGGAAAAATATAAGTAAATTGTAGGACTCATTATTTAGCATGTTGGAGGGCTTACACACAGGCTAACAGGTACCAATCAAATGTGTTATTCACAGCCTGATCTATCAAATATAGTGCTTCTCTCACACTATCAAATAAACAACACATATAAATACATTTGCAGCACACCCAAGATTGCTTGGCAGAGAATAGCATTTTCCCAGCATGCACTGTGGCTGCTGAAATCTAATTTGTTGCCTTACTATTGCTGTTGAATTGTACTGTATTGTTATGCATTTGTGTTCTCCTGTTTATTTGTGTTTTCATGTTATTTGTTATGCCACTTGCAAGTTTTATAACAATGTTTTCGTCCTACTGCTAGTTACCATAGTTGTGCAAAATGTGCCAGTTCATTATTCATATTGTCATGTCTTCCACTTTCAGTTCAAGCTTTAAAGTTAAAGATGTTTATATGTGAAATAAATTGTTAAAATACTGAGCTCCATATAACTGTATTTGTTATGGACCTACAGCTCAGCACAGCATCTAAAAAGCTGAAAACAAACTGACCATCTAATAGTTACTATGGTGTAATAGTACCACATTACCTTGGAAAGAAATTTCAAGAATCTGTTGTAAAGCAAATTAATTCCCAGTAGCTGTTTGAACATCTCACTTGCACACAAACAACCACACAGGTGTCATGGATGGTTTTAGCAGAGGCTAAGAGGTATACGTCAAAAATGTAGTGCACTATTGCAGCCAATGTCCCCTGCTCTCCTTCGATCTGCCTTTCTCACTCTTGTTCCCCCGTGTCTCATCTCTCGTGGGCCATGAGAGTAAGTAGCTCTAATGCACGTCAAGGTGAATCAGTTTGCTTCGCTGAACTTCTATCTGAACATGGAGTTTCTACCTGGATGATGGTAAGGTTAAAGGTAACAAGTAAGCCTGGAGGGCCATGTTACACATCTATACACAGCACCAGTGTCTCTTCATATGCCTTGTGTTGTTTTACATGAACCACCCCAACAGAACCTACATACTGTAACTCAGAAATCAGGTTCACTATATACTTCTAATGAACAAATCTGTATATTTGCAACTATTTTGGAAAATAAACAGTCACTGATTGTTGAAAGTACTGGATGTCTCGTCACATCAAAATTTATGAGGAAAAAAAAGATATTTTGAGATGGAGTATCTGTCATTAAGGATATGTATATCATTTAGTGTTGAACAGAACACAGGGATCTTGAGACACGTTTTTCAAAGATCTATTACATTGACACTGCATCTTAAAAATGTGATGCTCATGGTGTAAGATGTGACCAAGACTAAATAGCCAAAGATGTCTGTCATCATATTTACAATTTAAAAAAAGTGTAGATGGAACACAACAACACATCCTATATTGAAAAAAAGCCCAAAGTCTACCTCGAACAGACTGCAAAATGGATTGTTAAAAACAAGCAATATATTGACTTCATAAGCATAATTTTGGTCTTCCTTAATCAGTGTTTCCCCTAGGTTTACGGCTTTATTAAAAGTTTAACAAATATTACATGTTTAGGACCCTATGAAATGTTTTTATTTTTCCAACCTTATGTTTTATTGTAACCAAATTCTGTTTTAGCATGTCTAATTATTTGAAA